GTCCTTCTTTCAATACAGAAACCTCATCTATGGGATACATTTTCCACATTCTTGCTATGAAGCCCTTAATAACATCTATTGGGGGATTAGCTCCCAAAACGCAAAGTATCATAGCAGAATCCCAGTACCTTGATTGTTCCACAACATCATCCTTGGTAAATTTCGCCACCTGAATGCCATTCACCTCTTCCGATTGTACAAATTTCAGATCTAGTTCAATCAGTTCCGGAAATCCCACCGCTTCTGCATACGATTTCGGTGATTGCTCCTTGAGATCCTTCTCCTGTACGCCATTTTCTTCCGGTGTAGTCTTAGGGTTTTCATCATTGAGCTCCGATCCACTGGTTTCCGGAGAATCCTTACAGGTGTTCTTCAAATTCTGTACAATGTTGTTGTTATTAGGTGATTCCCGATTCTCCCCCTGCGTATTCCCAGATCCATTAGCTTTCTTTGGCCTTCCCTTCTTCTTCGCCATTANATCAGTTCCGGAAATCCCACCGCTTCTGCATACGATTTCGGTGATTGCTCCTTGAGATCCTTCTCCTGTACGCCATTTTCTTCCGGTGTAGTCTTAGGGTTTTCATCATTGAGCTCCGATCCACTGGTTTCCGGAGAATCCTTACAGGTGTTCTTCAAATTCTGTACAATGTTGTTGTTATTAGGTGATTCCCGATTCTCCCCCTGCGTATTCCCAGATCCATTAGCTTTCTTTGGCCTTCCCTTCTTCTTCGCCATTACGTTAGAAAGAGAGCCTTCACTTCATACATTATTATTAAATTTTAAACAATAAGCTAGTTAAAATTCTTCCATTTCCCATTTCATTTTTTACTTACTAGTATTTCACCCGTGCGATGCACAAGAATATATATTCTATCATCTTTTAAATTATTAATATTAGGAAAAAATAACAGCATCAATTTTGGTAATTTTATTAAATGTGTAATTTTTATTTTAGTTATAGACAATTATATTAACATCATTTTTGAAAGATCAAACTGATAATAATCTAAGTGGTGTTTACCAATTAACAACACATTGTCACCAAAAGTCAATTTTTGAATCTCATAAATTTGTAACGAAAATCCCATAAAATTTGTAAATAAAATTCGGAAAACTTTCCCGAAATCTCTTTAAGTATCGTCCTGCCAAAGAATTTTAGCATAAATTCTTGTCGCTCTTAATTTAAGCATAAAAACTAATGACCTCTCACTAGTTTGTTAACAATTTATATTACTCGAAAGGTAAAATTGAATAATTATATAATATTTAATATGATAAGAACTTAATAAGAACTTTAAAACTCAAAACGCAGTTCAAAAAGGGAAATTAGAAAAAGAGATTTTAATTTCTTTCTCTATTTTGGATTTTGTAAACTTTTTTTAATTTCCAAAATCAGCTTAGTCAGCCTAGCCTTTTAATAAAAATGGAAACTTATTGGTACGCTATATTTTTTTTGTATTCTCCCAACCAGAAACGGAAACATAGTAAAAATTGTTTACCAAAATTAATGTCTACGCAATATATTTTTTGTTTTCAGAATTTGTTTTCCATTTCGGAATTTGATACTTACCAAAAACTTATGCATACTAATGTATTTAATTTCTTTTTCTATTTCGGAATTTGTAATTTTTAAAATTTTCAGAATCAGCTTAGTCAACCCAGCCTTCTAATAAAAATGAAAACTTATTGGTATGCTATATTTTTTTCTGTATTCTCCGAACCAAAAAATGGAAACACAGTACTCTATACAAATTGTTAATTGATGCTTACCAAAATTAATGCATATGCAATATATTTTTATGAGAAATGCTAGGTTCACAAACAAACTAATCTGAAATTTCAAAAACTTATTATTTGTGATTTATAATCTTTTTTAAAAATTATTCTAGACTATTTCATTTGTCAATTGAACTCCACAAATGGTAAGTTTGTGAACTTTGTGACCACTTAATTTGTGAACCTTGAATTTCTCATTTTTGTGTATTCTCCCAACCAACAAATAGAAACATATTAATTATTAATTTATTATTACCAATACGTATGAAAATTTTAATTTCTTTATTGATTTTTAAAATTTTTAAATATTTTTTTATTTTCGTATTTAGATTAGAAAATAGTAATTAAGCTAGACTTTTAGTAAAAATGGAAATGATGGAAACCGCTTTTTCGAGCGTCGACCCGACGAATTCGGTACTGGGTCGACACCGCACCGAATAGCGAAATCCGGAAAATAAATAAAGTAGAGAGAAAGTATTTATACATGGAAACCCAAATCGGGAGAAAATCACAGGCCTTTTTAGGCGGTGTCATGCCAAAGAGGAGGAACTTTTATTAATCTTGGGAAAATTTACATATACATCATTGTAGAAGTTTGGAGCCATTAATGGAGCTCAAAACTTAGAGAAGAAGAAATATAGAAAGTTGCAGGAATTTGCCTTGGCCTCCCCTTCTCCTCTTCGTAACTTCTTATAATAGGAGGAAGGGGTGAAGTAGTGGGAGACAAGATAATATGCTTGGGACCCCCAAATATATATATCGTTGGGCCCTTATTAATATTCTTACATCTCATCAAATTATCTTCTTCATCTTATATCTCTGACTCCGTCTTGAATAATTTATCTGATTTGTATCTTGGACTGGACTGAATTGGGCTTACTTGTACTGTTCAAATAATATTGGATTAGGTAAAACCCCTAATCCATCAGGAAACATAAAAATATGTAATATATCTTTTTATATATTCTCCCAACCGAAAAATGGAAACATAGTAATTACTCCGTATTAATTAATGCTTACGAATATGTATTTTTTTTATTTTCATATTTAGATTAGAAATAGTAATCAGGCTAGCCTTTTGATGAAAATGAAAACATAGAAATATGCAATATATTTTTTTGTATTATCCCAATAAAAAATGGAAACACGCTAATTATTAATTGATGCTACCAATATGTATAAAAAATTTAATTTCTTTACTAATTTTGGAATTTGTAAATTTTTTATTTTCCTATTTAGATTAGAAATAATAATTAGCCTAACATTTTTTTTATAAAAATGGAAACATAGAAATACACTTTATATGTTTTTTGTATTCTCCCAACCAAAAATGGAAACATAATAATTTTTAATTTATATATAAATTTAATATTTTTTCTAATGTATATATGAAGTAATTATTAAAATATTAAATTAATATTCTAATTTCACAAAAAAATAATAATAAAATAAAAAATATTATTACATTATAATATGAATGATTATTCTAATATATGATATAAGTAATTTTATTTTATTAAAAAAATCATAAAATAAAAAATATTGATTATATTATAATATGAATTATCATCACAATTTTCAAATGTTATTATAAAGTCAAATCAAATTATTGATTTGAATTTTAAATCAAATCATAGTTAATCAGATCAGATCAGACCAGAGACCAGATCAGATCAGATCAAATCCAATCAGATTAGATTAGATCCAATCAAATCAGATCATATCGGATTAGATCCAATCAGATCAGATCACACTATAACTACAAAAAATCAGATCAGAAAAAATAAGTTGAACGGAACGGAGCCTTACTCACATGTTACTCGAGTAACACACACTTTATATATATTACTTTGACATTTTATACATTCTCCAAACCAAAAAAATGTTAATATAGTACTTATTAAATAATACTTACCAATATTAGTGCTTAGAATAAATGTAATGGGATAACATGCCCAAAATTTTCCATTTAATCCTCCTACGTTTGGGCGGGAAAAAATTCACTTCTTTTTAAATAAAGTATAGATTTTTTTAGTTTAATAAACTGACCGTTCTACTAAAATGTATTCCCAAACTGCACTTTTACTTTATTTTGAAAAGTAAGGTACAAATTAGTCACAGACTTTTAATAAACTGACTATTACGGATAAGTAGATATGGATGGGGTATTTTGAATATTTGAATAGTTGTTACCTTATCCCGTGTATATAGCTCTGGACTCCTTCCTTCCCACATGTGTTTGGCTCTCTTTGTTTATAGCCTCTTTAGTTAGTCTTGTGCATGTATAAATCTTAGTTATGTTCGCAGCATCAATGTATGATCAATACTCATCTATATTCCATTCTCTACATGGTATCAGAGCTAATTCTTTAAACAGAGTTTTTTTTCCATCGCTTCACTCCTCTTTTACTTAATGACGTCTGATTCCAGTTCGACGGCTTCATCCAGCCCCATTCGGATGTCCGCGTCAAAGCATTTTCCAATCAAGCTCACCAAGTCCAATTACCTCGTTTGGCGGCGTCAGGTTCAAACCACCCTCGTCAGTTTGGATCTCCTTGGCTACGTTGATGGCACGCTCAAAATGCCACCTCCCTTTCTTAATGCTGCCCACAAGCAGCCAAAGCCTGCATATACCTTTTGGTACCGTCAGGATGCGATTCTTCTTAGTGCAATTCTTGGAAGTTGCACAAATCTTGTTCAACCGTTGATCTCCCTTACTGAAACTGCAGCGGATGCCTGGTCTCGGTTGGCTAAAAATCTTGCCAATGCGTCTCGTGGTCGGATTATTTCACTCAAATCTCATTTAGCGAAAAATCCTCGTGGCAATCGTACCATTTAGGCCTTTATTTCGGACATGACAACAATTGCATCTGATCTTGCCTTGGCCGGCAGTCCTGTCTCTAATGAGGATCCCTCTGTTCACATCATGTCTCAACTTGGTGACGACTATTCCTCTCTCTATCAGTCCTTACGGGGGTGCAATGCTGATGTCTCTATTGATGAACTCACTACTATCTTGAAGGACTGTGAGCGTGAAATCCTTGCTCGCTATGCTGTCTCGGGAGACCTAGTTCCCACTGCAAATCATGCTCAGCGCATGCGCAACAATGATCGTGGTGGAGGTTCTACTTGTCCTGGTTTTTCTGGTGTTCCTCGGGGTGGTCTACGTGGACGTGGAAACTTCAATCCGAGTCGTGGAGGTCACTATTGTCAGTTCTACGACCTGGCAAGCCATGATACCCGGTTTTGCAGAAAGCTTCAACGATTTCTCCGCAAAAATAATGTTACTATTGCTCCTTCTCGTCCGGATGGTCCTGCGGCTCATGTCACTATCTCTAATGACACTACTGGACAGCCAATTCCTCCATGGATTGTGGATAGCGGTGCCTCTCACCATGTTTCTAATGATCCTACCTCACTGACCTCTTTGATGGAATACGGTGGACCGGATGAAATTCGTTTGGGTAACGGTAAGACATTAACCATTTCTCACACTAGTCATTCTACTCTACCCACCCCCTCTCGTCCTCTTACCCTTTCCAATATTTTATGCATTCCCTCACTTCGCAATAATCTCTTATCTGTGTCTCAATTATGTCAAACTAATCAAGTTTCTGTTGAATTTTTCTCTGATCGTTTTTTGTTAAGGATGTGCGTACGGGGACGTCTCTACTTCGGGGAGCACTCAGAAATAATCTCTACTATCTCCCTTGTCAGTCTGACCCGTGCGTGAACAATGCCTCTGTTGCGGTCTCCTCTGTGGCTGATCTTCATCATTGTTTGGGTCATCCCAATAATAAAGTCTTAGGTACCATTATTTGTCATTGTCCGTCCTTCTCGAAGTTTTCCAATGTTTCTCAGTTCTCTTGTTCCTTATGTAATATTAATAAAAGTCACAAGTTACCCTTCTCTATTAATACTCTGACTAGTAATGCTCCTTTAGATCTTATTTATACTGATGTTTGGAGCACTACTCAATGTTCCTTGGATGGATATTACTATTATGTCATTTTCGTCGATCACTACACAAAATATATTTGCTGGTATCCTTTGGTGCATAAGTCCGATGTGTTTTCTATTTTTCCACAATTTAAAAGATTGGTGTAAAATTATTTTCAATGCTCCATTAAAAGTGTTTTCTCCGATAATGGTGGTGAGTTTCGTAAGTTGGTTCCTATGTTCAACGTGCATGGTATTTCTCATTTCACTACTCCACCCCATACTCCTGAACATAATGGTACGGCTGAGCGTCGTCATCGTCATATTGTTGAGACTGGTATGTCCTTGTTGCATACCGCTGGTCTCCCTTTGACGTACTGGTCCTATGCTTTTCATAGTGCTGTTTATCTCATCAACCGTTTACCCACTCCCATTCTATCCAACAAGTCTCCTCATGAAGTTCTTTTCTGTCTTCCCCATACTATAGCAAATTAAAACCGTTTGGGTGCTTGTGCTATCCTTGGCTACGTCCATACAATAATACCAAACTTTCTCCTCGTTCAACGCCGTGTTTGTTTCTTGGTTATAGTAACTCCCAATCTGCGTATAAATGCTATGATTATGTGGTTGGGAGAGTTTATCTATCCCGTCATGTCAAGTTTGAGACACAAATATTTCCATTTGCCACTCTACCCTCATGTACGCAGCCCACCCCTCCTTCATCCATTCCCCTTCCTGTTCTTCCGCCCTCTCGTCCATCCCCTTCCTCTTCCCCTCTCCCTCTGCCCACCTCTTCCTGCCCGGCTTCCACCAACCAGCCCCTCCCATCCCATAAAGTTCCTCAACCATCCACCACTCATATACCTGCCTCCTCACTTCCGTCTTCTACCTCGAGTCTCCCTTCTTCTCGGCTAGTTTGTGAGCGACGACTTAATGCTCGTTACTTCCACGACCATCTTATTAATCATACTTCTGTTGGTGTGGAGGCTCCACTAACTTATATGTAGGCGCGGAGGGACTCTAACTGGCGGGCGGCTATGGACGCAGAGTACTCAGCTTTGTTGTGAAATCACACCTGGGATCTTGTCCCACGCTTGTGTCGGCGACCTATTCAGTGTAAATGAGTGTTTCGTGTGAAACGAAAACCGGATGGTAGTATTGACCGCTACAAGGCCCGGTTGGTGGCTAAAGGTTTTCTTCAACAAGCTGGCCATGACTATTCGGAGACGTTTAGTCCAGTTACTAAGCCTGTGACAATTCGACTCATTATTACTCTTGCCTTGCGATTTGGATGGCCTCTTCGACAACTTGACGTCAACAATGCTTTTTTGAATGGTACGCTCCATGAAGAGGTGTATATGGAGCAACCCTCTGGCTATAAAGATGCAACACATCCTGATTATATTTGTAAACTCCGCATGCTTGGTATTTGGAGTTGGCTGATTTTTTGCTGGGGTTTGGGTTTCGGAAGTCTCGTGTCGTTGCTTCACTTTTCATCTATGTCAAGGGATCTATTCGTCTCTACTTTCTAGTCTACGTCGATGACATTGTGGTTACTGGCAATTCAGTGGCCTCTCTTGATGCTTTTGTTCACAAGCTGTCTCATCGTTTTTCGCTTAAGGATTTGGGTCAGTTGCATCACTTCTTGGGGGTTGAGGTCATTCCGGTTCCCGGGGGTGTTTTTCTCTCTCAATGTTAGTACATCCACAATGTCCTCTCTGATCATCAAATGGCCGATGCCAATCCTGTCCGTACTCCCTTATCCACAGCAGCTGCTCTTCGGTCTGATGATGGTTCGGGTAAGGCAAACCCCACTGTTTTTCGACGGTTACTGGGTTCTTTGCAATATTTAGCCCTCACTCGCCCTGATGTCTGCTTTGCGGTGAACAAATTGTCTCAATATATGCATGCTCCCACCCTTAATCATTGGCAGGCGGCCAAACGTGTGCTTTGGTATCTCCGTGGCACTCTCTCTCATGGGCTTTTCTTACGTGCTAATACGCCGTTGCAGCTCACTGTTTTCTTGGATTCCGATTGGGGGGGGGGCATCCATGATGGTGGTAAGTCTACTACGGCTTATGTTGTTTACCTTGGGACTAATCTGGTCTCTTGGAAATCTATTCGTCAGAAGACTGTGTCTCGGTCTTCCACCGAGGCCGAGTATCGTGCGCTTGCCCATGCTACTGCTAAGACACTTTGGCTGCAAAATCTTTTGGGTGAGCTTGGTGTGCCAATTCCACGTGCACCGATTCTCTTTTGTGATAATCTTGGAGCGACTTACGTTTGTCGCAATCCTGTTTTTCACTCTCGTATGAAGCACATTACCTTGGATTACTTCTTTGTTCGTGATCTTGTTGCTGTGAATCGTCTTCATGTTCGCCATATATCGTCCTCTGAGCAACCGGCGGACCTTCTTACCAAGCCACTTGGCACTCTTCTATTCACAAAGTTTCGGTCCAAGATTGGCGTCTCCGATGGATCCTCCATCTTGCGGGGGTGTATTACGGATAAGTAGATATGGATGGGGTATTTTGAATATTTGAATAGTTGTTACCTTATCCTGTGTATATAGCTATGGACTCCTTCCTTCCCACATGTGCTTGGCTCTCCTTGTTTATAGCCTCTTTAGTTAGTCTTCTGCATGTATAAATCTTGGTTATGTACGCAGCATCAATGTATGATCAATACTCATCTATATTCCATTCTCTACACTGACCATTTTGGGAACCCTTTTGAACTAAACATTAACTTGAAAACTTGTGTTAGGCTTAAAATTTTTTCAAGAATGCAGAGATTTGTTCAATAAAATTTTATGAAAGTTTATAAACACACAACTTGGTCAGGAGAGTTTGGTAAAGATAATTTTATGAAAATTTCCAAATCTTACAGCTTTAGCATTAAAAAACAAACATAGTTTATAGGTAGCATAAGAAGTCTTTGGTGCATTGTCCAAAAAAATAGTAAGATGTTACCCATAATGTCTTTGCCCAAATTGCATCTTTCCTTTATTATGAAGAATATAATAAGGAAAGAATTGGGCATTTATTTTATATAGTATCCCTTTTGCAAGAAACAATAACCAATTTCTGAAATGAAATAGCAAATTTGCTTTTAAGGAAGAACTTTGTTTAAAGCAACACACTGCTAATATGATGACATCAAGACAATGTTAATATCAATGTGTTATAATCAAGATACATACATACAATTTATTGAAATTAGTAGTGAATTTTGTAGAGCATAGACGGTTTCATTAATGCAGAACTTTGGGGATGCAAGTGGAGAGTGGGTGAAAATTTGGAAAGGGAAGATTTCAATATCTTCATCTTCCGTCTTATTTTTTTTATGTCTGACTTTTACCTCTCAAAGAAATCACGTCTTCTTATTTTTGTATCGGTATTTTAAAGAGTATATATGCATTTTGTATAATAGTATATTTTGAGGTGAAAATGAGCAAATTGTTGAGTTGGCTTCTTATTAATTTTAATCATTCAAAAGATCAAGTGGAGATAAATGTAGAAGATATTTGAAAGTTGGAGATCTTTTATCCTTGCTTATATTATTTTGCATATGTTATTGACAAGGAGACATACAATTCTATCATTAAAGTTAGCTCCAAAAAGATGTTTCCATTTTGACTTTTAAAAAATTTAAGGGAGAAATATTTTTGTGTTGAATTTCTACAAATACCTGTGATGTGGTGGCTAAAAGTAATATGTGATGTGTAGATTATTAGTGAAAATTCATGATCTGATAGGTAGGTTGAGAATTAGTAGGGGTATGTCAAGGAACCAACTCAACCAAAAGTTCAAGCTTGTGGTTGTGGTCCAGGAACAGTTATTTATATTCTAACACGCCCCTCACGTGCAGGCGTAGTCTTTTTCGAGCCTTGCACGTGAAACCTTAATTTTTTTAAACTGGGTGGCGGTGAGTTTCGAACCCGTGATCTCTTAGTCAACGAGGCTCCGATACCATGTCCAGGAACCAACTCAACCAAAAGCTCAAGCTTGTGGTTGTGGCCCAGGAACAGTTATTTATATTCTAACAGGGTAAACATAGTTTTTTAATAGAAATGTGATGAATTTTGTATGACAAGTAAAAAAAGAAAGGCGAAAGAGATTTTGTGAGAAAGTACAATATTGTTCTAAATAGAAATGTAAAGTTGATGAAGGTAAATATGTACATGTAAGTATGGATGCTTGAATATGATGCATGTTCAATACCTACTTTTTGGAATAAATAGTTAAATGATTTAAGTGTTTATAGTCACATGATAAAATTTTAGAAGACCATAAGAGTCCTATATCCATAAGCTAAATACAATCTGTGGTTTTAAGAAGTTCATTCAACATCCTCTTTGCTACTTCCCTTCCAAAAATAAAAGTGGAAGTAATTTTAAATCTAAGTTGTTTTCTCTTATGAAGTTGCCATAATATACAAGGTACTTTTGTTGAAAATTGACAAATAAAATTGGTAAATATCCACATGGCTAATATGAATGTTTTTTTAATGCTTAACAAAAATTATACAATGGTATTTATATGGGAAACTCAAATATATGGGTGAAAACCATTTTATCAAGTAGACATTTTTTCCCTATAATGTTCTAAAGATGAGTGTAAAATTTTATATTTTTAATTTAAAAGATTACTACCTCCGTCCTAGAATATTTGTCAATTTTCATTTTTACACACCATCCAATACACTTCTTTAATCCATTTTATCTTGTAATTTGTATATTAAAAAATTATAGAAATTATATATTAATAATCTATATGTTAAAACAAATCAAACAAGATCACACATGATTATATTTAGGCTTACACATTGAGAGAATTTGATGAGTCAAAGTGCTTAGATGAATAGTTCCAAAAGTCAAAACTGGACGAATACTCCGGGACGTAGGGAGTACAAAGTTTGATAGTAAATAACTTTAATCAATTGAACACTTTCATATATTTCATATATTTGATGCCCTTGAGTTACGTTCATGAGCCGGTTTTTCATTGAGATGTGATTATACCTTTTTAAAAGCTACGTCAGACTTTCTTGCTCAAACATGTTATGCTGGTCAGAGAAAGTGAGGTTTAGAATGCAATTCTTTCATATATTCGTTACCTTTTTTTACACACATTTATATTAAATTAACATTCGTTGCGATTTTAATTACACGGTTATATTAAATTACCATTTTAAGTTGAGCATTCGTTACCTTTTTTATACACGGTATTTATACCTTTTTAATACACGGTTATTTTAAATTACACGGTTATATGTTGATCACAATTACACTATCCAGTATTTTCACGAAAAATTAAATTTTTTTATGGTAATGGTAATTATATTTACATACAATTATGGTTTATTACGGTAATCTATTATATTATGGTAACGAAAGGAAATTGTGGTAATTACAATTAAAGGTTATGGTAACATACAATTCCTTTCTCCGGAACTTTAAGCAAATACAACTAAAGTTTATTATGGTAATTATATCTTTAAATACCTTTTCTGTTATACGTTCTCATTTCCTTTAGTTACCTTTTATTATTACCATTCGTATAAATGGTTTTATTTCATAAGTTTTTATTTCGTTACCTTTTTTTATACACGGTTTTTATACTTTTTTTATACCTTTTTTATACATAGTTATTTTAAATTACACGGTAATATTAATTGAGTAATTACTCAATTGCGGTAACTAAATTAAATTTCTATTTGTTACCTTTTTATGCACGTTTATATTAAATTATCATTCGTTACCATTTTAATTACACGGTTATATTAAATTACCATTATTAGTTGAGCATACCTTACCTTTCTTATACACGGTTTTTATACATTTTTCTTGCCTCAATATACACGGTTATTTTAATGATCCATTAATTACAATTTAGTAATTACCATATGGAGTGAAGAATTACCATATTTTCTACACCATGAAATGGGCGGGAAAAGAACAATGAAATTCATGGCTTTTTAAATAATAGATAGATAGATAAAATATTCTTATCACCACTTGTTTTGTAGAAATTTTGACGTAGTTTTTAAATATGTAAGTTTTATTTTTCATTTGTAGACCATTCTTTAAATAAAATGGATTGAAAAAATTCAAAAAATTACTTAGTTTAGCGTAATGTTGTTTATATTTTGGGACGGAGGGAGTACTATTATATACTTTGTATCAACATTATATTACCAAATAAAGTAGTTATTAAACCTGTTGAATTGTTCGAACATGTATAAACTCATAGTCAATATCCAACACATCAACAATGTCAATGAAATCTAATACTCCGTACTTCTCTCGTCTCCATAGATCTTTCCATAATGAGTTATAAAGCTTTATCGATTTTATTTTGAATTTAATTTATTTGATTATAGATGTAAAATATATATAGTAAAACTTTATTAAAAATCTTGTAAAACAAAATGTGACATAACTATATTATTTTATGGAATATGAAATAAGTAATAAAAGTAAATAAATAAAGTAAATAAAATTTGACTATGTGAATAATGTTTGAAAAGATCTATAAAAAACAGAGCGTATAAAACTTTAGCAAGCTTAACAAGTTCAAAGCCAACTTGACATTGATCGTTAAGCCTAGCACTTGGAGTATTAGAAGTAGAAAAGCAATTAAAATCCCTTAATTTCTTATTGTGATTAGTTATAGGGAAGATATTGGAGACAACATACCTTGAATCAAGGAGATGAAATCTTATTCTTTTTTCTGTCTAAATTTTTTTGAATGCTATAAATTATATTAAAATGTAATTCATGTTCATAAATTTCTTAACTTAATACACAAAGAGCCTATGCTTCCATCTCCACTGGAATCCAAACCTAAATGAATTTCCTCATAAATCCTAAGGAGTGAGCTTCCTACCACTCAAGCCAGTGGATATATTCTTTTGGTTTGAATTTAATTTTTTCATTTCTCATATAAATGTAAACTAGTATCACGGGTGGAACGAATTTTTAATTTTTAATGACCGACCCGCTAAAGTAAGGATTTTTCAAAATCATACACTTTACTACTCGTTTTTAGTGTATAAATTTATATTTTCAGACAAAATTTTAATGATATTGCATAATTATCTTACTTTTTTCTAAAACTTAAACATTTTTTAAATTCCTTATATTGATTTATATATCTAAAAATTACTTCACAATTTAAAAGAAAATAATCTAATAGATTTAATACTTTTTTTGATATTTTAAATTTATTAAATAGAAAATGTAAGAATTAATGTCAATTTAAAAATTTTAAAAACTAAAGTCATAACCCGTTGGGTCGACCCAAACCCGATGACACTGGGTCATGAAATACAGTTTTCTACCCGAACCCAAATTAACCCGAACCATCATTGATGGGCAAAAAAATGATTCTCCCCATATTAGTTTAGATTATCGAATAAAACTGATTCATCTCCCCGCATTAATATTATTCTCCTTCCTCATATTGATTTAAAAAAATATTATTTTTCTTTCCATAGTTTAATTAAAAAATATATTGGTGATTTTATTATTATTCTCTTTGCATTAGTTATGATTCAAAGAATATGATTCTTCTATCCTGCGTCATTGCTTTAATTTTGAATAGAAAAATAAGTATTATGCATCTCTCACGTATTATGATGATTTTCCTCTCTCACATTGATTAAAAAATATCGAAATGATTCTTTTCTCTCTGCATAAGTCAAAAAATAAAATCTTAGATTAGCAATCCTATAATTCAAAAAATAAAAATAAAAAATAATTAAAAATCGAATGATTCTATTCATTAGAATTAAGTAAATAAATTAATAGAAAAAAACATTAGTGATTCTATGATTTTGAAAAGAAATTTATAAAAATATTTTATAGTTTTTTTTTGTGTTTTTTCTTTTTATTTTAGTACAAAATTACTCCTTTTTAAATTTATTTTATTTAAATATTTGATCAATTTGAAAATAGGCTAGTCATTT